GGGTGAGAGGTGTCAGAAGCTTATTGATGGTTATAGGAAGCGACTGATTTCAGTTATGTTTTCCAAAGGGTGTGCAACCAAATATTAAGTTAAGGGTGCCAATACTTTTGTCCAGCCCATTTTTGGGGTTTTGTGTGACATTATGTCATATTTGCTTTTCTGCCTCTGTTTTATATTTGTTCCAATACATACAAAGGGAATAAACATGTGTATAGCAAAACATGTGTTAATGCAATACCTTTTTTGTGTGAAATACTTGATTTTTCAGGAAAAATATCAAGGGTGCCAACAATTTCGGCCATGACTGTAACTATTAAATAATCATACAAATTTATTTGAACTGTATGTATTTGTATTTCTTCCAATCACAGCCTGTTTCTTGCCTGCTCATCCTGTGTCTATTGTTTGATGGAGGCATCGCCTCCCTGTAATTCTAAACACATTCAATCAACGTGATGGCCACCTCCAGCCATGTTTAGCTGTTTGATGGATTGAAGGAAGAGGGAGTGGGCTGTCTTTTTTTTTTTTTTTTTTTTTTTTTTTTTTTTTTTTTTTATCTGAAGTGTATATGCCCACATGTGTGACTCTATAGTTATGTGGGAGGCACAGATAGGAGGAAATGAACAACTTTAGAAGGAAACTAGAGCATGCTCAGTAGATGTGGCAACGACTGTTCTACACTGTCTCCGGCTACTGTGGGGGCACAACTAGGAGGGAGGAACAGTGAACAGGATCAACCGGGCTTTTTTTGCAGACTACCTAAACCAAATCCCATAGTGACTGAGTATTAACAGCATGTACTGACAGGTGTGTGTTGTGGTGTGTTTTTTTTTGTTGATATGGTTTTGAAGACACGTGTTTTTTTATTGTTTTTGTTCTGGTTTTGTTTAGTTTTTTTCAGATGTTGTTGCTTTTAGTAATGTTATCTTATGAAGGACACCATATCTGTCCAGACACCAAGATTTGTGCTTCTCTTGCAGTCTATTACAAAAGGCTACCACTCTAACAGTGTTGTGTTTACAATGTTTGCTAGGTTAATATTTAACTATTTGCTCATTGCTTAATAGGAGCAACTGTTTACAGCATTTTGATTGTGGTTGTTGTGTGTGGTGTGTTTTTGTTTTTTTTTTTTTTTGTTTTGGTTTTGTTTGGTTTTGTTTTCTTAAATATTAGCAACTGTTTACAAAAGTCTCCCAACCCCCCCCCCCCCCCCCCCCCCATACTTTCTAATGTCTTTGACATTGCTGCATGTGGTATAGAAAATCCACATGTGTTTTTTGAGCAGGCAGAGGGTGAGGTTTATGGAGAAAGCATGAGTCACTGGAAAAAAAAAACAATGTTCTTGAGTGTTTGCTAATTTTGCAGCCAAGTGCTTTATGGAAGATTAAATATGATACCGACATCTTATCTCCTACCTTGTTACAGAATCTCTGGTATTCTAGAACTAAAGGCCTGTTCAGATAATGGAAACCATATTCTGTTTATGAACTGACCTGTTGTGCAGGGAGCCTATAGTAATGAATGGACATGCATTGGCTGTTTGGACCCACACAGCTGAGTTTGACATGTATGCAAAGACCGGTGCATGAGCCCCACTGCAGGGCCTGTGCACTCATCCCTGCCTACCTGTCAATCTGCTGTGAAGTTAGTTCTGCACAGCCGATGCATGTCCATTCAGTAGTATGGGCGGCATGCATGAGCTCAGTGCTAGGACAGAAAAGTAAACAAAGGGCACTTCACAATGTACGAATGTCTCTTATGAATAAGCACTAAATAGGTCTGTCACTGATAAAGGGGTGGGGAATGGAGAACGAAAGATTGCTAAAAGCTACAAAAGAAAAAATACCCAAGTATGCTATTTCTTCATGGCTTGAAAAAGGGTAACGTGTCCCTGTCAGCTCCTGGACCCCTAGAGTATGGACATGGCATTCCTTAACTGTTCCAGTTAAAAGTAGTTGGTTGGACTGACTCCATCTCTCTCCAGTCAGATGTGAGAGGCTGTCTGATGCATGTTAAACTGATTTCTGTAGACATGTTTAGATTTAGGGAAAAGCTCTACTCACACATGACTATGCAGAGTTGTGAGATACAAATCTGTATTTGGGATTGGTGTTCATGGAACTTCTTTTGGAGACCAGACTGATCTAGTCTCTATAGTAATTAGAAGCCAACATTATGAACTCTTCAATCCCCTAAGAAATTGTTAGTGCATTATGGCACATAACCTCTCCATTTGACAGGATAAAAAGGTTGCTGTCTACATAGAAAGTTGTATTTGCTAATACTTTTGTGCATCCTCATAAAACCTAACTTCAGGATTAATGTGATACACTAGTTATCACATTAATAATGTGTGAGATCCATTCACTGCAGTAGTATTCTGAACCGAGGCCAACGTGCTGACTCATTCATAGAAGAAGGCACTGGCTTTTTTTGCAGGTTTCCCCTGTGACCTCTGGGAACATCAAGAAGTACAGCTATGGCTGACTGACAGCAGAGAGAGCTGGGAAGGGTAAGTAAGAACAGCAAGGGACTGCCTCTTGCCATCAGGACATTAGCAGAGAGAGCATAACTTGTTCCCCCACCTACTAATGTGTGTTTTTTGCAAGACCTGACCACATGGGTGAATGACCCCTAGCATCATCCAGCTTCTGTGAGCCTAGGCAGTCAAGTAAATTTCCCATGGTTGGTGGTTGCATCATCACAGTGCCTGTTTTTTCTTTGGGCATTGCTGATAGAGACTAGGAATGCACCGATACCAGTTTTTATCGGCAAGTATGAGTGCCCATACTTTTTGGTCAAGTACATGCTGATACAGATTACCGATAAGAATAGCATGAGTTCACACAGGAGTGGTTCAGAGTGGGGGGATGTATACTCTGGAGGCTCCATATTCTAGGTGGTGGGTGAGGAGAGAGAGAGCAGCGGGGATATCAATTCTCCACCGCTTTCTTCTTGCAGGAATGACTGTTTGGGCTAGAAGACTGTTGATTGGTTAGCACTGTCACATGGATGGTGCTGACCAGTCAGATGCCGTCTAGCCCAAACTGTTATCTCTGCAAGGAGAGGAGAGAGAGCCAATTCACAGATCTTGGGATTTGAAATCCCTGTGGCTTTTTCTCCTCTCCTTTAAGTGATGACACTAAAGGCTAGACTGTATTTGATTGGTCAGTACGTCCATGTGATGGTGCTGACCAGTCAACTGCCCTCTAGCCCGAACTGTCATCCCTGCAAGGAGAGGAAAGAGTGGCAGGGATTTCAAATCCCTATATTTCTCTTCTCTCCTACATCTGAGACTCCGCATGGGATCCCTGCAGGGAGGTTTCCCACACTGCTCCTGTGTGAATTTGGGCTATGACGAGCCTGGATTCACACAGGAGCAGTTGGGAAACTGGCCAAATCGCCATTGATGCTATAAAGGTTCACCAAAGACTACAGGCACTATCGGTCACAAATGCTAGGTGTTAGACTGTGATATTCTACACGTTATTTGCGGTTGCTCTAAAGTTAGACCATTTTGGTCATAAATTACTGTGCAGAAGTTACCAACTGTCTGCAGACTCCATAGCTAAAGACCTCCAAACTTCGTGTGGCCTTCAGATTAGCAAAACAGTTCATAGTGTTTCATGGAATGGGTTTCCATGGCCGAGCAGCTGCATCCAAGCCTTACCTCACCAAGTGCAATGCAAAGCGTTTGATGCAGTAGTGTAAAGCATGCTGCCACTGGTCTCTAGAGCAGTGGAGATGTGTTCTTTGGAGTGATGAATCGCCATTCTCTGTCTGGCAATCCGATGGACATGTCTGGGTTTGGCAGTTGCCAGGAGAACGGTACTTGCCTGACTGCATTGTGTAAAGTTTGCTGGAGGGATTCTGGTGTGGGCTGGGCCCCTTGGTTCCAGTGAAGGGAACTCTTAAGGTGTCAACATACAAAGCCATGCAGACTTCCCAATACTTTTTAAGCAATATAGTGTATATATTGTCGCTTCAGTGTTTCTGGTGAAATTTGATTTGAGCACTGCTAAAAAACACTTGCATGGCTATTTTCAAAACCATAGTGTTACATTGGACTTCTATTGAGGTCCTAGATATCAATGCATGGAAGTGTGTAGTATATGGTGTGCTTTACTCTTTCTAGAATAACATGAAGCTACAGTATGTTTTATTAAATCTAACAAAATTTGGGGTGAGTGGATAAGTTATTCAACTACTGTGAACACCATGACCCTGTCTAATGCTTCCACCCCCTGTTTTATGACCTTGCTCTTTATCTTCAGTTTTGTCAAGTTTGTACTCTTTACACCCCCCCCCCCCCCCAAGAAAAACAAATAAATAATGATCCTTTTGTGTTGACCTGCTCAGGAATCACACTAAAGCCTTTATGGCAATGCTGTTGTCCCTTTTTTTGGAGTTTCACACCTCATTTCCTGAGGCATATGGGTAAATGTAGTCCTGTATAGTCTCTGCTGCAGTGTGTAGGAACTGACAAATCCGTTTAAATCATCCTTCTAATGGCTGCAAAAGCAATGGGTTCTTGGTTAAACTGGCCATACGGGGCTTGGATTTCAATGGATAGCTTGCTTAATTGGTCAAACGTTGCGCTCAGGATGGCCCCATCAGTACCACTGGGCTCAGCAAATGTCGACTGGAAAATTGACGGAAGAGGGTAGAAAATTTGTCCACCGAACTGTAACAGCATTCAGTCTTGCTGTGGCTGCTTGGATACAATAATGGACTGAACAAGAAAAATCTAGCCATGTTCTGACCAGCTTTAATCCAAGGTCAGGAGTACTTGATGTATTGCAACCTGAAACCAGACATCTTTCAGCACCAATGGAATGCTGAGTAGACTCGTTCCTACAAGGGCTTAGGGTTAGACTGAAATGGTTAGCAAATTATTTTGAAGATTGCATGACTAAAGATTGGCTTTGTTTAGATGTAATTTTATATTTCGTTTTGTGACATTTTATTTTATTCTTACAACTGTATCTCTTCTTTTTCAGGATACATTGCAGCCCCACAAACAAGCTACCCCAACACTTACACAATAATCCAACAGCCAGTGGCAACGACCTCTGTGGTGGTGGTTGGAGGATGTCCAGCATGCAGGTGATTCTATGGAAAAAAAAAAGCTTTGACAGTATATAACAATGGGCAGTGCTAAATTTTTGCAAAAAAATGTTGCATAAACGTGTGTGTGTCTGCGAAAAATGCTAAATGCAAAAACACTGAAAAATGCTACCAGCGTTAATAAAATGCCCAGTGTGCATGGAGCCTAACAAGGCAGGCAAAGAACAGAATGCATTAACCATAAGAAGGAATTGGAATTTTGCTTGTAGTAAATTGACTTGTTCCTAGTGCACATAATCATCCAATTGACTACTTTTAGAGAGAGAAGCTCTCTTTTGGCTGTACTTCTGTGGATCACAGGAGTGCAGTTCCTTCTGCTCTCCTGTGAACTGTTTTTAGCTGACAGGGCTGAAGCCTGCTGTTGGCTGATGTCACTCGTCCAGGCTGGAGAAAGATCCCGACTGTGTATGGATCCAATCCAGAGTCTGGAGTGGTACCTGGCTCAGTCTGTCAGTTAGCCTCAGAGCCTGAGCCAGCTTCTCCCTCCTCCTCCATAGCCCAGCACTCCAGTGAGCGTGGGGTGGGGGCAGAGCTGATAGTGGAGACTGACAGTCAATGCTCTCTGCCCAGAGTGGTTGTGAGAACTCGGCCCCATTCACAGACTTTCAGATCAGGTCCACCTGTCAGTTTTTCAGGTGGACCTGAGTGGAAGCTCCATGTAAGTCTATGGGCAGGTGATGTACATCAGTTTACGTCTGTCCTGGTCCTTAAAAAAAAAAAAAAAAAAAAAAGATAAAAGTTCTGCATCCTTTCTTGTTTCGGGACCTAGACATGATGGAGGTAGTTTGCTGTAAAAGGACCATTGCATTCGGTTGCTTATAGATCTAATATGGGTCCTGAAAGCTTTGATATTTAAATGGAGGCAAATGCTGAATGGACACAAATGTCACAAAAATATCTGACCCGTTCTGCCTTGATTCAGGAGGGGATCTATTTAAGGACCTCTTGCTGAACAGACCTTGACAGTACCTGTATGAAACAGGCCTTGTTCATATCTTGTCCAAGAGTGAAAACTCTTCCTCACTGTGCTGTTTCTATTAAGGAGAGCATTGTCACCCTAGCACAGGAAGCATCTATGGAGGAGAGCATTGTCACCCTAGCATAGAAGCATCTATGGAGGAGAGCATTGTCACCCTAGCATAGGAAGCATCTATGGAGGAGAGCATTGTCACCCTAGCACAGGAAGCATCTATGGAGGAGAGCATTGTCACCCTAGCACAGGAAGCATCTATGGAGGAGAGCATTGTCACCCTAGCACAGGAAGCATCTATGGAGGAGAGCATTGTCACAATAGGGTTTGAAGTTTAAAGGATTAGTTCACCTTTGGGAACATGTTACACCCCCGTTTTTTAGGGTCGAACATATAACCTGTTCCCAATACCGCAGCCGATTGGACAACTGTCACTAAAGCTGTCACTTTTTAAAAATAGTGCAGCCACGTGGGGCTCCACCCAAACGGCTGTGTCATTCATTCTCGGTGAACTACTACGGTGCTGTGGTAGTTCCTTGACTCTCTGTCAGTGTGTCTGCTTGCTGGTATGGGATGTACTTGCAAGCAGATGCACTGATAGGTCTTCAGGAGATCTGCTGATCGCTGCTGCAATGCTTTACAGGCTCCTGCAACCAGAAATGATGCACACTTTTTTTCTTGCAAAAAAATGTGCTTTTTATTTTTGGGGAAAAGGTGAACACTTAAAAGTTCACTTTTTCAGAAAAATTTAAAAGGTAAACTACCACCCTACAATCACTCTACCCCCTAGTCCTCACTAGACTTGCCTCTATGGGTGATAAGCTGTCCCTGCCCACACAGCTGGTGTAGTGGTCCGGGGCTTTGAGCTTCCCTTCTTTCTGCAGGGACTCTGGGATTGATGAGATCTGAATAACTCCTGCTCCGTCTCTGTTGTTTTAAGGACAAAATGGGAAGAAGAGGGATTTTTATTACAAATCCCTGGACTGGTACACTGGCTATGTGGGCAGGGACCGCTCATCAGAGGTAAATACAGCAAGCATCAAAGATGATGTGGGGTGGTTATGGAATACTGCAGGCATCACTAAATGGTGGACTGCGGTCTGGACCCGGACCAAGTGACAGTCTTGTCCAGACTGCAGCTGCCCCTTTATCAGCTCTCTGAGGTACTGCAGATCTACACAGAGAGCTAGAGCCTTTTCAAATTAACAAGCAGGTAATGACCCACTTGTTAACATAGTAAGTTGGACAGCTCCTGCCTTCCATCCAGATCTGCACTACCTCCTGCTCTGCTTTGAGGATGACAGTGGTGGCTGGGTGAGAGACCCAGGAGAGGACACCCCAGACTGATAAGTGCCTCTTCCCTGCCAAAGGTAGGACTGTGCAGGGGAAGCTTGCGCTGAAAGGGGCACTGCGATGTGAAGAAGACTGCAATGTAAAGGGGCACGTCAAGGGGGGAGGGGGTGTGTGATGTGAAGGGGAACTGAGGACACTGTGGGACTGCTTTAAAGGGTGCTATGGACATTGATGTAAATTGGGTGACTGAGATATTAAGGGGAGTTGTGACACGTTAAAGTGGAAGCATGAGATTTGGACCCATACCGGAAAAAAATTTGACTGACAGACCTCTGCAAACTTTATTTCAAGACCCCTGGTATACAGTGTTCCCCCCCCCCCCCCCCCCCCCCATTTATGACTATGAAACAACTTATGTTCTAGAGATGAAAAGAAGATAAGGTTGGCGTCCTGCAGTTAAGAGAGAATTGGGAACAGCGCTGATGAAAGTGCAGCACAGGCAGGGTCCACAGGAAATTAACTGCTCACTGGATTTCTGGCAGGATCTGTCACCCTTCCTCACTTTATTTATAGCATCTGTTACATTCAACGGTTATTCCTCACATCAAGAATTTTCTGAGTTGCTTGTCATGTGAAGACTGTATCTGCACAGTGGTTATGCCTTTTTAACAGACTATGTTGAAAACTGTATTTGTGGCCACATGACCTGATGTAATATGAGAGGAGGAAGAGGTCACTGCGTTCTGTTTTTTTTTTTTTTTTTTGATCATGTGAGTAGACTGTCATGTCAGGATGCTGAGTGTAAACAGTAAGCAGCTATTGTCTCCCTAGGTTCATATGATCACTTGGAAATTACTTCTCCAATGTGTTTAGGACGTTCTATCTCTTCTCCAAGCTCTTTACAAGCATTTTCAAACAAATGTTGGTCACGGCAGCAGATGCATGTATGTGTTGTAAAGGGGTACATGGATTTGGGGGAGGCGACAAGTGGTCAGGGCTCCATACGGACAATCCATCCCCCCCCCCCCCCCCCCTTTTTTTTTTTTTTTTTTTTTTTTTTTTTATATGTCGTTGTGCCTAGTGTGCGTATGTGGTCTGTCTCCGACACTGGAAAGGTAGGCCAATGCTCAGATGTTCGTCTATCTCAGGTGCACTCTGTTTTTGTGACAGACAGGCATTCAGGGGATCCATAGCTAATGGACATCCTGCTATGGAATATGAATCTAATGAAGATGACCGCAACCTTGACGATTGTAACAAGTAGGGATGAGGTAGTGGTGACAAACGTTTTCTGGTACAGGGACAGGCACTCAGCTTGTCTCTGTGTGCCAATTTACATTTGGTCTTTAATTGCCTCCATTGTTTTCATTATCTGTGATAACTGGAGGTAATTTTTGAATCTAGTGCAGCCATAGCTATAAGAATGGCACTACTTAGAATTACCTGAATCTTAGCTATGCTTTTGGTATAGCTGCCAAAACAAGCAGCAGGGCCTTTTTTAAAGGGCTATACAGCCAGCAAAGTGTTTGTAAGTGTTTTTTTATTGAATCCCCCCACCAGTGTGTATTCTTTATTTTGTGTTTGAAAATTGCCTTTTAGATCTACTCCCAGCTTTTGTTCCCTTTAATTAAAGTGGTAGTAAACTTGCTTCTCCCTACAAGTTAAGAGCATAATAGGCTAGTATGCATCGCATACTAGCACATTATGAAAGCTTTACCTGAAAAATAAGCCCTCCAACAGAGCTGTCACGGCTCCCTTCCATGTTCACTCGGTCTTCCTTCTGGGTTAGCGGGCAGTGGCCATTTGATTGGCCAAGCCACGATGACGTCACTCCCATGCATGCGTATGGGAGTTCTGGCTGTGGCACGGCTCTCTCAATAGATGACACGCCATCCATTGAGGGCGCAGTGCGCATGTGCTGCTGACATCAGCGCTGCTGCAGTAAAACTCTCCTAAAACGGTGCACATTTAGGAGATATTTACAGTATCTACAGGTAAGCTTTATTAAAGGCTTACCTGTAGGTAAAACATAAAAAGTAGGGTTTACTACTGTTGCTCATCTAAATCTGCAGTTGTGTAATGTTCCGGCACGAAGTCGTCTTTCCTTTTTTTGGGTATCCACATCACATCACTGGTTGTGTGATGTGGACACTTCCTATTGGGCGTCTAGAGGTGGGGTCATCTTGGAATTCAGAAGCGTATGACATCAGCAAAACAGGATGACGCCGGCATATCTGCAGTGCTGAATTACTGGTCCCCCGCACCTGGAAGCTGCGCTGACCAGGAACATGGCTGACTTAGCATTTTTTTGCCTTTTAAATTATCTTCTACTCACCTGACTGGGTGGGAGGGAGGTTTTCTTTGGCCCACAAATGACCTTCAAACACTACAAACTTTTTTTCAAGAAATTGCAATGGGAGGTGGATAAGATTGGAAACCTCCCAAATGAAGACCTTTGCTCATGTTCAAAGTGTCTCGTGTTAACAGGCCCAAGTGAAGACTATGCCATTGTTCTTGTCCAAGCATTTTGCCAGTGCTTCAGGTAGGTATGTATGTATGTTGTCTTGCAGAGTAAACAGGCTACCATTTATGTTACTGAGTACCTTGGCTTGGTGCTCTGGGATTTTCTCAGTATGCACAATTAACTTCTGCATTCCTTTTGACTAGAGTGTTTGATAAAAGTTCTTGCCAAAGTATTGTACAGTCATGGAAGGAG